TAAAAAAAAAATTAAAAAAAAAAAAAAATTAATTAATAAAAAAAAATCTAAGTGCTAAGTGGCAAGGGAGGACTGTACTGTATTTTCACTGTTGTCAAGCATTAGATCATATTTTCTTCCTTTTGCTTATTTTCACTGTTGTCAGGCATTAGGAGATATTTTCTTCCTTTTGCTCCTAGAAATTATAGCAGCATCTACACCAATGTATCCTTACACAGCCAGATTTTGGGACCATTGGTAACAAGGGGTTAATCGTTTGACTCACCTTAATGATCTGCTGTGTTACCTCAGGTACTTGACCCCTCTCCTGTCCTTATTTGGAAATGGAAGATACTAAAACTGATCTGTGATGAGAATTGTTCTTAGGTGCCTAATGTTTCATAGATTCTCAATTTTAAAAATTGCAAGGATTTATGTCCTCTGCTTACAGTTTCTTTTCCACTATTCCAATTAAGTTAGACTGCTTAAAAGTAGATAGAACTCAGTCTAATGTCTACATAGCAGGCTTAGAGCAGGCTAACTCTGCTTTACCCAATTTTCCCATCTCATAGTCTACTTCCAGAAAGGAATGAAGAAGAGAATTCTGAATGACTTGACACTTTCAAAAGAAATCAGTTTACCTGTTTCCATTTTAATTTTTGTGTGTCAAATTTTCATGATACAAACCACACCTAAAGTTATGGTAAGAGCACAGGGCAACCAGGCAGCAGTACCAGAGGAAGTTAAGATATTGCTCGAAAAGATTTAAGATTCACTGTGAGGGGCCATGTATTGTAAACTAAGAGGTCTATTTTAGATTTTGCATTCATCTAGGCTTTAAGGTTTAACTCCTGGAATTGGTACCAAAAACACAAATGGTTATACCAAATCAGTATTGATTTTTATTTATTAATGTCAGTCATTGCACCATAATTTTGATACTAAGAACAAAGCCAGTAAACAACTTAAATTTTAATAGTACATGCCCAAGACTTAATGAGTTCCAATGAACAGAAGACTAACTCACTCCACAAATACGTTTAAAATAAGTAGCAAAAGGAAAGGGGGGGGGCAAGGAGAAGCAACATAAAGTATGATGGGGATCTGGCTAGATTTATTTTTTTAAGCTTTATTTTTAGTAAGATTTTCCTAACACAGCTACATATATTCACATTTGCTCTATCTTTAGTTATTTTCACCACACTTAGGGTTATCCGTGACTCATCCACATTGTTGACTTAACTACCTTTAGACCATAGTAGAGCTTTTGCTCCATGAATGTACTCACTCATTTTTTATGCTCTAATGATTCAGTTTGGTGTTCCAACAGGGTACTGAAACACTTCTGACTATTAACAAAAACAAACTACAGATAAGCTGGAAGGAAGCTACGTTGTGTATTACCCACATTCTGGCCACAATAATGAAGAACAGTACAATACTGGGAGCAATTCTATGTCCTTATCCTGGTTCCTGCATTTACTGCATGACCTTGGTTAGTATTTACATACATTTCTGCCTGTCCTGGTTACCCCTGAAGGGTTTTAATTAATAGCTAAATATTTACTTAGAGCCAAGCGTTAATAAACATATTATCTATAATCCTTAGAACCCTGCAAATTATGTCTTCTTGCTCTCATTTTACTGATAAAGAAATTGGAGATCTGAGATCAAGTAACTTACCCAAAGCCTTTAAGTAGAAAGTTCTAAAATCAACATTTCAACAGTCCTCTGCAGAGTCTTTTGTAAGGGTTAAGTGGTAATAAAGTACACAAAAATGCTATCACCAGAAGAATACACCAATTCACTCCCTACTTCAAAAATATTACACAGCATGTTACTAACTATATAGCAAATAATTGTATAAAGAACACTTAATTTGAATTTTAATGCAAAAAGTTATCTGCTCTGTATTTCCATATTTTAAAATTCTACATTTAAAAATCCACAGCCATAAATGAATTTATTCACAGTCTGCCATAACACAGCTTTCCTGAATTTTAAGCCAAGACAGATTTTCTTCTTAACCTTCTTCAAGGCATAACTTAAGAGTGCCACTATGGACCCAAAGACTGGCAACCTGATTTTTAAATTTATTTGAGAGAAATTTATTTTTTTGTCCCACTTATTTATGCATTCATTGGTTGCTACTTGCATGTGCCCTGACCAGAGATCGAACCCGCAAGCTTGGTGTATTAGGATGATGCTCTAACCAACAGAGTTACCCAGCCAAGGTTCCTGGCAACCTGATTTCATTAGTTAACACCCTGACTGTAATTATAGAGCCACCACAGGTAATCACTGTACTACATTCTCATTCTCTTGATTAAAAGAATCCATCAACTTATAACTTAAAGTTTGATGGCTACAAGCTCTCACTTTATTATTCCAGTATCTTTTTACTTACAACATGAAAATGGTGCAGTTTACTGGAATCTCTCAATAGCATACCCTTACTGCAACAGCATCTGACACTGCCAGAATAGGAGTTCTATTAAGTGAGATGGTACAGAAAGAGCGTTCCCCACATAGCAGGCCAGGATGCCTTGGCATCAGTCTCCTTGGCATCAGGCTCTCTACTTACTGTTAGGAGGCCAGGAAGAGGAAAGAAGCCAATATTAAAAAACCAACAAAATAACACCTTTCACTTCTGCAAGGGAAAAAAAAAATCTCTGTTGTGGTCAATGTTTAGCCAACACATCAATCTTTCCAATTACAGGTACACCTCAGGTATATTGTGGGTTTGGTTCCTTACCACAGCAGTAAAGCGTTTTTAATTTTTTTTGCTGGTGGAAGGTCTTGCCTTCAATTTATAAAATACACAACATCTAATGCAATAAAGTGACAATGAGGTAATGCCTGAAGTTGAATTGTGACTCTATTGCTTGTAAGCACAGATATGGTACTGTCCCATGTACATACCACTTAGAATACAGTCATAAAACCTTATTACAAACCCATTTATAATACCTTAAAAGGTATCACTCTGCCTGTTCTGGATATTCAAATGCTAGTGTAATAACTGGTTTTCCACCTATTTGGCTCAAAATATTTTAGAAACTACATATTTGCTTGAAACACCTCATCCCTCAAAAAAGAAAACCAAAACACACACACCACCCCTCTTGTTATCAATATGAAAATGTGGACCTCTGGTTTTAAGAAAAACTTACCCAAGTTTTCTAATATGACATAAGTACATAAGTACACAAACATATAGTTAGCTTTAAAAAACAAACAGCTGTTGCCAAAATTTGCAATGGGGGTGGGGTCTTTGTCCAGTTCTTGGGAACATAATAAATTATTCCTTTTATATTCCAGTACAGAGAGCTCCTTGCAAACAAGAATCAGGTTCATCTAGCTAAATAACGCAAGCAAATATCTATGCATGTGGCACTTTGTAGATGGTTGATTAAGCCATGACCAGAGTGATTTTTTTTGTAGAAGTATTTGAAAATAATTGCGGGGGAGCCTAAAAGGCAAAAACTTCATTTCATACTTCTTTTTAAAACCCTCAAACCCTAACTCGCAATTTATAAGGCTTAGGCAAAGAAGAAACAAAGTTGTTAATTTAATGAATTAAAGAGTGTCAGTGATAAGGACATTAACTGTTTACATTTCTCTCGGAAAGCCTATTTTTAAAAACTTGAAAATTGGGGGCAAAATTATGTAAATTAACCCCTTTTTCACCTTAAAACAAAAAATGAGCCTGGCCACTTTGGCTCAATAGAGTATTCACCTGTAGACCAAAAGGTCGTGGGTTTGATTCCATGTCAAGGGCACGTATCTGGGTTGCAGGTTTGATCCCCCACCCCAGTTGGGTGGTGCAGGAGGCAACCAATCCACGCATCTCTCTCCTACCGATGTTTCTGTCTCTCTTGTTCCCTCTCCCTCCCTTCTACTTTGTCTCAAATCAATGGAAAAATATCCTCTGGTGAGGAGTAAAAAAAAAAAGAAAGAAAAAAAAAATGAAACCAGACGTTTACACACGGTGAGTCACATTACGAAATGTTTTTGTGTTGTTTTTGTTTCCCCCTAAGACTCCCCCTACATGACTAGATCACTTCCTTGGAAGTGCCATGTGTCTGAGGCCACGTGGTAAACATGTGGCAACAAGCAAAATCCCTACCCATAATAAAATTAACAGCAAACCCAAATGTGGGCGATGATACCTTTCTAAAACGTTTGGAGGGTGGCAAATCATGTCTTATTTTTAGATTAAACAGTATTCTTTTAATCTCATGAATGATGCTATTGATTTTGGAGATTTGGCAATTTTTTTCCTTCTGATAAGGATATTTTTTTAAAGGATCATCTAAATTAAATAGTGTTGATTCATGGAAAGCCGGCCCTAACTGCCCCTTTTCGAATTGCATTGAATGAATATTAAAAAAATCAATTGGGAAACTATCGAGTATGCAAAGTATGAATCCCAAAGATTATCAGGCCTTCCAGTGGAGTGTCCCACACCCTCAAGAACTTCTTCAAGGATCCTTTTGTAGGCCCACTCAGAGCCTTTGGCACATGGCCCGCCAGGCCCACTACACCAGCACACGGCCTGCACTAAGTACCTAACTCCATCTCCCCTCCATCCGCACCAAGGCCCTTTTCTCAAGAAACGGCCTCCTTGTGATAAGTTCCCGCCAAAACGACCCTCCGTCCCACATTCCGAGACCCTAGAAGTCTCAGAGCCTCGGTCCCAAGAGCGCACGAGCCAGGGCCTCATTTGCTGGAAGGCTATGGCCTGGGTTGCGGCCTTAGCCCCGGGAGAGGTCACTACGCGCGGGGACTCAATTTCTCAGGGCGGAAAAAAAGGGAGGGAGGGTCGTCCGACTGCAGGAGGCCGGAAACCCAGCCCCGAGGCGGCTGTGGCAGCCGAGTTTCCCACCTGACGCAGCAGCGAAAAAGACCAAAGTGCGGCCGCCATCGCCGCCTCACTGCTCCCCACCCTCTTCGTCCGCCTCGGACCAGCGACCGCAGCGCGGTCCCCCCCAGGCCCTATCCCCACTCCTGGCCCTCACCTTAGGGGTCTGAGTGAGCCCGCAGCGACGGAGAATGAGCGAGGTAAGCGGCTCGCAAATTAGAGGATGTTTATTTTCAGGAGGGTCCTTGCCTGCGCCACACACTGCTCTGCACACGGCCCCACACACACGCCGCTGCGCACGGCTCTCCTCCGCCTCGCCCACGCGGCCAATCAGTGCGCAGTCTCGGGCGTCCAATCAGAGCTTCTCACCGGTAAGACAGCCCAGCCTGAGCGCGGCTAGGAAAGCGCGGGGCGGGTCCACGCGAGGCGGTTTTTTTCCGCGCTTTTCGGTCTTTCCAGTTGTTCAACACGCGCGGCCTTTATTTTCCGGATTCTCAGGCACCGCCCCCTCTCGCGCCTTTCTGGCTTATTCCACGCCGGTTCCGAGAGAGGGTAAACTCATGTGTCCTGCCTCGGCAATCTCTCAGCAGCTCGCGACGCGGGATGCCAGGGGACGGGTCTCAGTGTCTGTGATAGGCGTGCGGCCGGGAAAAATCCCTACTTCTTGGGCTCAGAAAAGACTGTATGCCCTTAGACCATTGCCCATTTCCTGAAACATCAGTTTGGGGGATCTCAAGTCACAGAAGAGGCTGGGGCTGTGGACAGCCGGCCCTGACATGTGTTTTGGTTTTTGAGTGAGCCAGGGCAGAGACCAGAAGTCCTTACCTTCTTTCACGTCTAGGTCCCATATACCCACCTCAAAGTAATAGTGGCCTGGGAGAGGGTGTGAAGATGGTGAAATGGTGGCACTGAGACTTAACCGCCTCCCAGCAAACCTTGTGACCGGTTTAGCACATTTATGAACATTCCCTGCGACCTAGGTTGTAATAGCGAGTACCAGGGGAGCCATCTGGCCTGGGCTATCACATTCAGGATTGGTTGGCCTTTAAATTTGGTGTTTTCTCCAAAAGAGATTAGAGAGACAGAGACGGAGAGACTCGCAGATACTGTTAACATGAAAATAATTTAAGTTGTTCAATGTGAACTAAACACGGAATGTTGTGTAATGAAAAAAAAAAGGAGCGCCATCCCCGGTCTCGAGCTTTATTTTATTTTTTTCTTTCTTGAGAAGAGGTTTAGAGAGAGAGGGAGGGAGAGAGAGAGATGGAAACATCATTGGCTGCCCCCTGCAGGCCCCACACTGGGGATTGGGCCCACAACCTGGGCATGTGCCCTGACTAGGAATCAACTGGTGACCTCTTGGTGTATGGGTCAACGCTCAACCAGCAAGCCACACTGGCTAGGCTCCAGTCTTGAGCTTTAAAAGATCCTGAAATTACTATAGTTTCGTACAGACTTAGTATGCAACCCATGTTGCTGGCTGGTGTGTCCCAGCAATGTACTTTTTATTTCTTTAATAACTCTTATTCTTTGTCCTAGTTTCATCTCATTGAATCTTTCCAGTCTCGGTATTGCTTTTGAAATCATGTTTGTGAAGAGGTAGTAAAGTGGTTAAGAGCACAGGTGTTAAGAGGTAGGTATTAAACCTAGGTTCAAATCACTAGGGCTTAGTCATTGTAAAGCATTTAGCAAATTGTCAACATAGTACTTAATAAAGGGTAGCAATTATCAAAGAGGGAAGGGACTATTTTAAAGACCAATGATCTTCTTTTAATCTTTGCAAACTAAGACAATTTAAAGTAAACATATTTTTAAATTCAGAACAAAAAGGCCCCATTTCCAATAAGATTGAATTGTCTAGCATTTTATGTATTGAGTTGTAACATAGGAGTTACCAATAATAAAACAGTATTTTGTATTTATATAGTTTTGTTATGAAGATGTTTACACAGCTTTATAGCTTCCCCCTCCCTGACAAATGTTTATAATATCTTGAGGTAAGGAGTAGTATAATTGCATAGATTTTAGTAGTACTTTCCTAAGTGAGTCAGTATAATGTGTCAAAGGTTCAAAAGTATCCGAGGTAAAACCAGAGTCACTGAAGTAGTAATTGGTAAAAATTTACTGTGCACATGCCAAAAAGTTTATAAACTGGGAGCACTCAAACCAAAACATGGAATGGGGATTACAAAGCAGCTTACACAGTGAGAAAGTAGTGTCTTTCCAGTGATTAGTAATTAAGCTAAATTAATGACTAAATTTGTTTTGTCTGCTCAGGGAACCTTCAAGGTTGGTCTCTGCTTTTGATTTCAACAAGGGCAAGAGGCTAGGTAAGAAGTCCACTTTGGGTGCATTCATGCCACACTAGGAAGACAAGTAAATATTGTCATGGGAAACATAAACTAATATTTCATGGCTTGACTTTGTTTACAGTTCCAATCACAGAGCTAAATAAAATGTTTGCTATTAAAGGACGAATGTTCCTAATTTTTTTTAGAAAAATGAGGCGGGGTATGCAGGCCCAGATGGCTGCACTCGGGATTTTTACCTAACATTCAAAGAAGAACTAATACCCATTCTCCTCAAACTATTTCAATTCAAGAAGAAGGAAGACTTCCAAACTCGTTTTATGACGCCAGCATAATTTTAATTCCAAAACCAGAAAAAGACACTACAAAGAAAGAAAACTACAGGCCAATATCCCTGATGAACATAGATGCCAAAATTCTAAACGAAATACTCGCAAATCGAATCCAGCAATACATCAAAAAATTATTCACCATGGCCAAGTGGGATTCATCCCAGGGATGCAAGGATGGTACAATATTCGCAAATCAATAAATGTGATACACCACATAAATAAAATGAAAGATAAAAATCATATGATCATATCAATAGACGCTGAAAAAACATTTGACAAAATCCAGCACCCATTTCTGATAAAAACACTCAGCAATCTGGGAATAGAGGGATCATATCTAGACATAATAAAGGCCATATATGAAAGACCTACAGCCAACATCATACTCAATGGGCAAAAATTAAAAGCATTTCCCTTAGGAACAGGAACAAGGCAGGGATGCCCACTTTTCACCACTCTTATTTAACATAGTATTGGAAGTCTTAGCCACAGCAATCAGACAGGAGGAAAAAATAAAAGGGATCCAAATGGGAAAGGAGGAAGTGAAACTGTCATTATTCGCAGATGACATGATACTATACGAAGAAAACCACAAAAACTCCATCAAAAATTTACTAAAATTGGACAGCTATGTGCAAAGAAATGAAACTAGACCATCAACTTACACCGTACACAAGAATAAACTCAAAATCGATAAAAGACTTAAATGTGACTCATGAATCCATAAATATCCTAGAAGAAAATGTAGGCAACAAAATTTCAGACATTATAGGCAGCAGAATTTTTACTGATACATCACCTAAGGCAACAGAAACAAAGGAGAAAATGAACAGATGGGACTACATCAAACTCAAAAGCTTCTTCACAGTAAAAGATACAATCATCAAATGGAAAGGCAACCCACTGTATGGGAGAGCATAATTGCCAATGATATATCAGATAAGGGCTTAATTTCCAATATATAGAGAGTGCTCATACAACTCAACAAAAGGAAGACAAAGAACCCAATTAAAAATGGGCAGAGGAACTAAATAGACACTTCTCCAAACAGGACATAGAAATGGCTAAGAGACATATGAAGAAATGGTCAACATCACTAATTATCAGAGAGATGCAAATTAAAACAACAAGGAGGTATTACCTCACACCTGTCAGAATGGCCGCCATCAACAAATCATCAAACAACAAGTGTTGGTGAGGGTGTGGAGAAAAGGGGACTCTAGTACACTGCTGGTGGGAATACATATTGGTGCAGCCACTATGGAAAACAATATGGTGTTACCTCAAAAAATTAAATATTGAACTGCCATTTGACCCAATGATCCCACTTCTAGGAATATACCCTAAGAAGCCTGAAACACCATACAGAAAGAATATATGTACCCCCATGTTTGTAGCAGCACTATTTACAATAACTCAGGTCTGGAAACAGCCGAAATGTGCATCAGTAGACGAATGGATAAAAAAGCAGTGGTGTATATACACAATGGAATACTATGCAGCTGTAAGAAAGAAAGATCTCTTATCCTTTGAGATGACATCGAGGGACCTGGAGAATATTATCCTAAGTGAAACAAGCCAGAGAAAGACAAATATCACATGATCTCACTTACTTGTGGAATATAATCAACATAACAGTCTGAGGAATGGGGTAGTCCCAGAGACGTGGAAGTGGGGTACAGATTGACAATCCGCAGAAGAGGGGGTGGGGGAGAAATAAACCACAGAACTTATATGCATGTATGTATGAACAATGGACATGGACAACAAAGGTGGGGACAGGGTGGGGAGGGAGGGGGAATCAGTGGGGGGAAAAGGAGTAACACCTGTAACCAAAATTAATTAATTAAAAAATAAATAAATAAATAAATGAGGGGGGTATGAAATAGAGATACTGAACATAGTGTCCTTCTATAGGTTTTGAAAGACTTAAGTAGAAGGAATGGAAATGTAATGTTATCTTTGCTGCTTTGCTGTGGGAGTAATAGCTAATGCCTCTTCTCTAGTGGTGTCCAGCTCTCCATAATGACTATTATTGAGTCAAACTGATCATGAGGCATTCTCATTGTCTCCAGAGAAGATCTATAATGGATATTAACTCCATTTACTTGTGTTACCTGGATATGCCCTTGGGTACACCTATTCACTAGAGATGTTTGAAAATAAGATGACAAAAGCTAACTCACTAAAAAGGTAAACCACCGATTGTATTTGAAGAAAGAGGTTCCTATTATATTTCCTTTCCCTGTAAATGTGTTTTATCCCCCTCCTCACCTCTAGTGTTCAGTCTTACCCAGGTATTGTGCTTAACATGGCAGTGATTACAAAGGTGACCAGTTAAGACACAGACCTTGCCCTTGATCTTGTAGGATGACATGGGCCATAAGAAAGTATTAAGTGTCCTGAAAGAGAACCAGCTAAAATGCTATGATTCAGCATGAATCAGGATTTCTTGTAATGCATACCAGTTGAGTACCAATACTGCCAACTCTTAATTTCTGCTCAAGAGCCCAACTGCATAATATATACCTTAGCTTCTGCTTTTAAAAAGGAAATGATGTGGTATATATAATTTTAAACCTGTCCATATCTTCTTTTCTCTGCCAGCAGGAAAATAGTCTTTGTGACTTCACTTGGAAAGTATGCAACTAAGGTTAAGGGAAATAA